TGTCCAGCCATGTGACAGGAGTATCGGTCACCTGTGAACGATAGCCATGTGATGTGAGTATCAGTCACCTGTGAACGATAGCCATGTGATGTGAGTATCAGTCACCTGTGAACGATAGCCATGTGATGTGAGTATCAGTCACCTGTGAATGATGGCCATGTGATGTGAGTATCAGTCACCTGTGAATGATGGCCATGTGATGTGAGTATCAGTCACCTGGAGGCAGTACTCAAAAGCCTGAATTTTGCCTGAAACTCTCAGACTGAAGAAGTCTCTTGGAAGAGAGACGAAACRTTTAATTAAAGAAGAACCCGTCCAGAAGACCTATACAATTTTTTTCCTTTTAATTTCAGAGACAATTTATTGTCCAGTAAAATTTGTTATCATGACGGGCGCAGTCACAACTTCCACAAACTGGTATCTGAGCATCAGACAGAACTGGTTTGAGCAGGATATTGACAGAGTCTGAGTCATTTAGTCGGTGATATCAGCTGCTAAATAAATTCCACCATTTTCTCTTCAAAGGTTTAAGCTTGAACCAGTCAGCACTGTGTTTATTTAGCTCTATTATTTGACCTAATTAGAAGGAGTTGTTTATACAAGCTCTTCCTATAGAGGGGATAAAAACAGCAACGCACAGTTTCTATCAATACACCTCCTCTGAAAGCATTTGGTTCTTCCTGCTGCTTGTTCCCCATCAGACTGTAGTTGTGAAGACGACAGAGATCTATAGCAACAGTAAAGCCATTACATTATCGGTGTTTAAAACAGATAAATGGCAGCTACTTTACAGCCATGCAAGAACAACTCTCACTTCTCTTTAATGCAGCCAGCTAATCCAAAAGCTGCTAAGCATCACACAGACCCCAAAAGAAAACCTGATGGAAGACTATGAAAGAGAAAACCGGAGAAGCCTTTTAGGCCTACAGATCAAAAGTATTCAGAGCGCATCAGGGAAACCGTTACGTGATGAGTCACATTAGCTCACTGCTGAAATAAAAAAGAAAGCAAGAGTGGAGGATGAATCCTTACCTAACAGTGGGGCAAAGAAGATTATTGTCAGGGCCAGGATCGATGCCAAAAAGAAGAAATCAAACAATAGTCTCCTCAAAACATGTAGGCAGGCCTTTTTTTTCCTTTTTGGGTATTTTTCCCCCTTTTCTTTTATGCATGGTTTCATTTTTAGCATCTGAATGTAATAAAGCTCAGTCTAATTTATACGGTAGAGCCACAGCAAATTTGCTGCTGGAGATTTTACAGTGTTTACTCTTCCCCATTTCTCTTTCTCCCCGCTTTCTTCCAGTAAATAAGAAACCCTGATTATCATTTCAGACACACTTTGATGCTCCATATTTGCTGCCCACAGCTGTAAGACATTACAAACTAAATTGCTCCTTATTAGACCTTTCTGTTGACGTGAATCCACCTAAAAAAGCTTATTTTATTTTTTTTTATTTTTTAGCAAAAGAACAAATTAAACCCGAGGCCCTTTTTAATTTTCAGTGTTGCTCAACTAGATTGTTTTCTGACTAAACCTCTCCTAACAAGACAGCAGGTACAGATTTTTTTGTATTATCTAATTTAAGCAGCTCAGGCTGAGTTGAAATTAATTTAATCTAAAGGTTTGCTACTCTGATAGCAGTAATGTGAGGCTGAATCATATTGGGGATGCTGCAGATGCTTTGGGGGCTTGACATGGACTATTTTTAATAAGAACATTTTCACATCTTCTCCACAAGTTGTATGCACCAATGAATATTGGGTTTTGTGAGTAGATACAGTACATAATGCCCACTGGGATGCAGAAATGTAGACAGAATGTAGCCAATTAGTTCCCCTGACCTGGGAAGCCAGTGCTCAGTAATGGATGAAATAAAGCACAAGTTCTATAAATCTCTACATTTAACATCTTTTAATATTACAATTTATATACAGTATATAAGCAAATTTTCCACAAATCCAAGATCTTGACTCCATTACAGACTATATAGTCTTCACACCACTATTTAAGTTTGGATATTACTCACTGGAGCGATCGTAGCTCTCATGGCAGGTGTGTGTGATCTCAGCAGCGAGGTCCAGGTAGTGTTGCCTCTTCTCTGGTGCTCCATCATCTGCCCCAATCCCAATCATGCCCCCTGAAAAGCAGGCCAGGTGGCCCATCTTGTGGTCCAGGATCCCTCCCCTCCACTCAGCCATGTAGGTGAGGCCTCCRGGGGATTTCTGCACCAGGTTAGCTTCAATCGCCTTCAACAACACACAAAACCAAGTTTGTTTTACCCTCAAGTAGTCATTGAAAAAGCACATACAGTAACTACTACCCAACATTTGGTACTTCTTACTTTTTTCCTTGTAAACTATATTTAGCTTTCATTATACTGTTTTAGCATGTAGCTTCTAACAAGTACTGAACATTTTATTTGTCAAGTTTTTTCTGTGCTTTTATTTTGTCCCTGAAATCAGACCTGAATTAACATATTTGGAGCCACAGCTGACTTGACCAAACAGGTGCTGCAACAACCTCATTAAGCGGCCAATAAACCAATTAACACCAGAATTAGAGATATGCCTCCAATTAGTTTGGAATAGACATAAAGGCAGCAAGTTTCACATTGATTCAATCAACCGAAACAAGGACCTGAACAGTGAAAGCCCCAGTATCTTAAAYGAGTTTATCCTGTGTTCATCACAAAGAAAATAAGGCCAAAGCTTCTTTACAGTAAATTAAAAGCATTATAACTTGAAGAAACATTTAACCCGTTAACATTTTTGCTACCCTGCAGCTGCTTCTATTCAGCTTTTAATGTTCTGAAAAGAAGAGCACCTAAATTAGTTTTTATTTTAAAACTCTAATTTGAAAACACATTATTTTTCTTCAAACAGCTCAGTTGGAACATTGAAGCATTACGGWGCAGCAAATATGCAACAAAAACCTCTTTATTTAAACCTTAAATTATATTTTTCCTCTTTTTGTTTTTGTAAAAACAAAAATGTGTAAATTATAAATCTATGGTACTTTGTACGTATTATCATATTCTGCTGCTCTCATTCACATTTACTGCATCATGTGTGCTCATGATCAAAATCCAAAGAAGAAAACCAAGACAAAGCAGTAATGTGTGCACCATTTAAGTTTAAAAAACTTTAAAAAAAATCTGTTTCTCCACAGGGTTCAGACTGGTTATTTTATCTCATATTAGCAGTAGTTAGTGGCAATCATGACGCACCATGAATGGAAAATGTTTTCTTTTTCAAAACAGTTTTAATTAGTAGCCTGCTTTTATTTGAATGGCAAAGATAATTAGTTGTGCTGCGCTTTCACCTCAGATCTCTGAAAAAAAAAAATCCTGCAGCATAAAACAATCTGATGGAACAGCAGTGCTTGGTCATTAAATACCAAGTCACAAGAGAAAAACTGGCTTTGTRATTAATGATTCTATATCTGGATTGATCCTCTGATGAGCAAGGTCATCTGAATGACTGCCTGACGTTTYTATACTTTGTTTATACACTGCATATACAGTATTCACGTGTGTACATAGTTTGTTTTGTATTAATGTACTCAGATTCAGTTTGGTTAATATCATCCCAAAGATGAAGATACRCAAGTCTTATCTTTTGGAACTTAAGTTGCTCAGCATAAGTAGATTTTATTTATATTTTAAAATAGTTTTTGCTGTCCTACTGTTTGCATTTTGTCTCAAAGCTTGTTGAAAAGCTTATGCAGATGATTGTAATCATGATTTTGTTTATGTTACAACACTGTTTGCATTAAAAGGCACGTTCTTACCTCCATCGCGGTGTAGTACGTCGTTTTTGCGTCCTCGTCTGTCTTGTCTGACATCAGGTATGATTTAATCAGGTACTCGTAGAAACTGTCTCCGAGTCCACCAATAGAAACATGATCTAAAAAAGACAAAGTGATAAATAACACACGTTCATTTTTTTCTTTCTTTATCCTTTATTGGTCATCAATGCATGTTTCCATACAATGATGAAATTTCTGCTCTGCATTTGGCCCATCACAAATGAGAAACACCCAAGTGGAGCAGCGGGCAGCTGTGTAAGTGCCCGGGGAACAGCTGGGGATTGGGTGTCTTGCTCAAGGACACCACGACACGTGGGGAGTCGAACCTGTGACTTTTGGGTCCCAAGCCAACTGCTCTACCACCACACCATGCGACATGATTCTAAATTTAAAAGTACTGATTTAGGATTTTCAAAACATAATAATTAGATTTTTAATGTGCCTGTGTGTCCGTTAGCAAAATATTTCATAAACCAGCAAACTAATTTTAATATCACKTCCAGTGTAATAGCCCTGCAAACATAGAAAAGGTTAAAACTTAAGGCTGCATAACACTGCAATATTTTAAAACAGTCGGACGATTTTCAAAGACTGAGAGAGCCCACATGTGAGGATAAAAAATCCTGGATATACCAGGTTTGGTCCTACAGTATGTGGTGTACAGCCACACGGCAAGAGACAACACAATACWCACCACACACAAAAAGATATTTCATTCATGAACATCCAGATGTTAGATTTGAAATCACRCGAGACTTCTTGAAATCTCACGAGAATTCAGATGTCAGAGGAAAAATCTCACGTAAACCTCCAGAGAGACGTGAGTTCAGAGTAAATAGTAATTTTCAAGCTGTTGTTTTAAAGGTAGCGCAACTGTGTTTGCTGCATGACCAGTTTCACCTGTTCCCCCATGTTTGTCTTGCATGTCTTCTTGAATGGGTGCTTCTTAACTGCCCCCTCCCCCCTTCCCTGAATGCACAGCACCTTGTGAATTCATTTCTGTGAAAGGCGCTATATAAATAAAACTTTTTACTTACTAATAAACATTTGCATCAAGAAAGAAACAATCTTGATTATTTGTGGACAATTTTTTTTACCAGAGGAAAAACAATCCTACAGGACTTTTAACATCCAGCAGACTTTCTGGTGAGTCATGACATTTTTTTGTCTTCTGTATTTTGGAATCCCCTCCATGTTTACGTCACCTTGCTTTCTGATTGGCTACGTCTCATTCAACAGGTTGCAAGCTCATTTGTTCTCAGGTGAACACTACACACACAGTTTGATTTCCCCGATTTGAGGTCGGAGCGGTCCCGACGTCCTTCCGAGCCGACTTTATCACTCTTAACTCCCCACCCACGGCAGGAATATCTGCTATAATTATCCTTAGAGCCATCAAGATAATCTGGACTTCCTTAAGATGGTCGGAAGGGACAGAATTTGGCACAATTATCCTGCAGTGTGACGCAGCCCATAGTCAGTTTGACTGATATTGAGTTAAGATTCTGTGTGGTCATAGCTGGGAGTCATCTCCATCTCATTCTCCTAGAGCTAAAAGACTTTTGTTTAAAACTTTGGCATGAAAAGTGTGGACACTATGCATTCCAGCAAGAAATGCTAGTTAATTATTTTTCTTTAAATAGCAGTGATAAGAACATTTTTTTTGTTTCATAAAACTCTTTAACCTGTCGCAGTTTGTTGTATGACCCCCCACCCCCACCAAGTTAAACACTGAATAATTAGCGTGGGGATTTTGTCATTTAAACTAAAATAAGTGGTTCTTTACTTTGCCCTTGCTTGCTTTAGTCCAGATTCAGACTCGTACAGATGAGCGTGATATCACAGGGARGCACACACGACTCCTTATCTTTCCACTCATGCAACACCTTCACTGACTCGCCCACAAGTTTATCACAGCACTGCTCTGACACAGACAAACGAGGGAAGCCAAAGTGCTTTATTTTCTCCTGTSTGTTATTATTTACTGTTTTGTTTCCTGCATGCGCTTCTGCAACAATTAACTGCTGTAATCATCTAGATTAGCACCTCTTCACTCCCAGCATCATCTTATCTTGTGGGTTTTTTTTTTCTTACCTCCTTTCAGGTAAATTGGACAGATCCAATTTTCTGCAGTAACTGAATCCATTGTCATTTCAATAACCCAAAGCAACAGGAGTCATATAGCTAGGTGCTGCATTATGGGACTGATATTAAAATCGAAGGGAAGTAGACTGATGGATACAGATGAGCAGCTGAAAGAACTTTTGACACAAGTGATTTAAAGCCTGTCGTGTGCGAAACGGAAAGAACTAAAGTGAAAATATGTGATCAAGGAGACTCAAATTTTTGTAACTCTGGCCTACACCAATTTTCCTTTGTAAAAAAAGGCTAAATTAGTTTGATTTACAGAATTGGCACCACTTCATACATCAGGATCACRTTTAACAGAAACACATCCTGGATCCTCAGAGTACTTACGCTGCACCCAGTTGCCACTAACTGGGCTCAGGAAGTTAGGATACAAGCCGTGAGGTTTTTCAATCTTGTTCARCAGCTTCCTGATGTTCATCACCTGAAAATACATGGTATAGAGTTWAACTATTGCCAAGATATCAACAGATATTTAACAAGAAATTAAGTTACAACATAAACAAAAGGAGGGTTTGAACAATGTTAACACCGGCCTAACTAATGACAGTAAAGCACACAGTTAGCACCAAAGTAAAGCTAGTATCTCACTGTGCTTCAACTACTGGAGACTCAAAAATATGTAAAATTCATTTGCAGTCAAGAAAGAAACAATCCTGATGCTGAGTGTTTGTGATCCAGAAGTCTTGGCCCACATTTTAAGTAGCTAATTTTCTAAAATCCAAGCTTATTGTCACGTACACAGCAAGATTGTATTCTAGGCTGTGAACTTTATTTTGTTGCCCACATCACACCTGCCAAGAGTAGCTCATACTGGAGTCCACTTTGTAAATAAAGACTAGGGTTGGGCAATATTGGTAAAAAAAAATAAAAAATCACGATTAATTGTAGTATTTATCCGATAACGTTTAATTTGCGATTAATCCCTTGGAGTCCCTGGACACCCTAATGTCCTAGTCACATGACCAGTTTAGTGGGAAAGATTTGCTCTTCATAAAAATCTGTTCCAAATTCTGTGAAAATTACAGACTTCAAGTTACACATCACATTTTAAATTGTGTTGATAGATAAATAAATTACAGAACTTTTTTTTAATGTTCATCATATTTGAAGCAGAGAGGAGCTCCGAGTGGACAGATCTGGTGACATTAATCGTATATTAATCGTCAAATGCCAAAAAATAATCCATTAACGTTTTTCTGATGATTAATTGCAAACGATACGATTATGCCCAACCCTTGTCCACAGGCAGATTTGGACCAATTATTGATGGTCTGTGTGGTGTTAAGACCTGAACATTAGTCTTGGAGGTGTTGGTATCAAACTGCAGCTTGAGACGAGTTCGAGACACCAACAACTCTGACTAAAAAAATGTGCTACTGATCTTCTTTCAAGCATATTTAAAACGTAACATGATTACACACCTGCGTGACTCACAAAAGGACATTAAGAACCCCTAAATCTTTTTTCCAGTACAGTTTAGAGCATGTGTCAAACTTAAGGCCCGCGACACTCGTCTAGAACCACCAGGGAGGTAGTACTCCATATTTTTTTACTCAGTATGAAAATTGTTTCTTATGTCAGTGGTAAACTTTACATTTATGATTAAATGCAACAAAATAAACAAATTTAAAAGGTGAAAAATAATAATAATTGTCCTGCCCTTTGTTGGCTTAAGTAAAAGAGCACAGTTGGATAGCACAGTATTAATGTCTCAAAATGAGCTGCTTTAAAGTCAGCATTGAACATAAACTAATGCRTGTCGATCAACCATGGGATTTCCCTGTCAGAAAGTGGGAGAGTTCAGAATTCAAGATGGCAGCTACTAACTAGAAACTCATCAGTGAGCAAAACTSTATTAGTTTTACTTTTAATAGAAYTTCTGTATTATTTATTTCAGATTTAGTCAGACGTACATAAAAGAGGATGCGTTAAAATCTGTTTAGTCAAAGTTAAACATGAAACATCAAAGTTAGCTACAACTGGCCCTTCGAGGGCCAGCATAACGCTCATGTGGCCCTCGGTGAAAATGAGTTTAACGCCCCTGTTTTACAGACTCCCTCACAAATATTGTACAGCAACAAATGTAAGCCCAGTGAGATRCAACCTTAAAGCTTTTAACGTGAATCACTRAACCTTTTCTTTGTAGACTGGGTTGTTAGAGAGCTCGGTCAGATGCACAAACTCAAGGTGAAGAGTCCCAAACTCGGCCAAGATGCTGCTCCCAGCCGAGGCCCAGCCCCAGCTCCAACTGGTCCCACTGCAACAGAGGYGACATTCAAAGAGGTTTAATGTGAGTATCATTGATTTCACATGGAGGTATGTACAAGTACAAGCTCAGCATCGGCAGCCCACTAATCACTCAGGARCCAACTGGGGACATTTATAGTCAGATTGTTTTAAAACACTTTTGGCTGAGTTTGTGCTGAATCAAGTGACTCATTGTGTTTACACTGTATGTAAAACCCACAACAAAGTGATGAGAGGGGCCAAACACAGCCTGGCAAACTAAATAAGAACACCTGAATAAAGCATACCTTGTTCTTAGAAAGAAAGAAAGAAAGTTTTGTCTCAGCATAAACTCCAACCCACCGACTTTTTATAAATGTTATATTTGTTCCAGCAAATGTTTTAGTTTTTTTTAGTTTTTTATTCAAAAGTAAGCAGTAATATTAGATTTTATTTTAAAGTTTGAAGCAAAGAGAATATCATGWGATATTATGGAGAAAATGAATTCTTAGCTGAACTTTTAGTTTTTGTGTTTATAACAATTTTTTCAGCTTCACCTGACCCTGCTGTGTCTGCAGCTTATTCTGATTCTCTGCAGAAACTCTGGTCTTTTTTCTTCCTAATGAAGCATATTTTAAAACTGTGCTTTTGACCTGCAGTGAATTGTGCATTTTAGAGAAATATCCTCAGGAATCAAGCAAAAAAAATGTAATCAATATTTTATTTCTGAGCAAAAATGCAAATCATATACCGTATTTATTCGTGTATAATACGATCTCATGTATAATACGACCCCCCCCCCTTTTTTGAGCTTAAAAAGCATTAAAAATTTAAGCCTCAAACTACCTCCAATTTCATACAGACCAAGATTTTTCAGCCTTTGCAGTCTTTATACCTATCAGTAAAATGACCATTGGACTGTTCATTTTATTTTAACAACACATGTACTAAAAGGTATTTTGACAACAAATATACATCAGCTGTAGCAG